GGGGGGTTTGTGGCGGGACTCGGGAGCTACCTATAGGCTTTAGGGAAGACACGGGGAGGACGAGGCTGGTTTTGGGGGAGCCCTGAGCTGGGGGGGAAGGTTTGGAGGGGACGCCCAGGGGCTGAGGCTGCTGTGGGAAGCTCTGAGCTGGGGGAGTTTCTGGAGAGGGTAAGGCTGCGTAGGGTTTCTGTGAGCCGTGGGGAACTCAGCTCTGCCTCCTCCGGCTGCTGACGCGGCTCCTCTGCCCGCTCAGGTTCTCACACATGATCCAGGACAAGGCCCTTCGCACCTCCTGGGCACGGAAGATGAAGGAGCGGCAGGAGAAGAAGCTCGTCCAGGACCTGGCACGGCAGCTGCAGGAGGGGAAGCAGAGAGAGCGAGAGGTAACGGGGCTCAGGAGCCGGGCTGTGGGCTCAGGACCCTGCAGGCAGCATCGTCCGGCCCTTCTGGGGCTGCTGTCTCCACAGGGCAGTGACCATGCTTGAGACACCGGCACGCTTGGGGTGGGTTTGCCAGGCAGCCGGGGGCTTTGCTGTCCCAGCCCTCGGCTGCAGCTCCCTGCTGCCATTGCTAGGGCGAGCTCAGGGCCGCGTTGCAGAGCCAGGCAGCAATCGGAGACTTTCTGCCTCTCTCCCTACGCGATCCCATGTCTCTGCCTGCATCCCGGGCTTCGGGGCCGTGGCAGAGCCCTGCGGGGTGCCTGCCTGACAGCGAGCACAAACCCCACCGCCTGCCCTTCTTGCTGGCAGCTGGGATGGTGAATTCCCGGTCATCCTGCCAAATCCAGGCTGCGACGGTCACATGCTGCGAGTCACTGACTCGGAATAAACTCGCTCAGTCAGTTCAAGCCTTGTGCTGGGGGAAAAAGCGCTGCTGGCTTGGCTTTGTGCAGCAGATTTCACGCTTGGGCTCGTGTCGCTTGTGCTGCTGTAGATGTGCAGCTCCCTGACCAGCGTCTGCATCAGCAGTGGGTTGATGCTGGTTGGGGTTTAAGCCTGGAGGGAGGGATGGACAGACCTGCAGGGAACGTTTTGGTGCTGCTCCCGCAGGAGAAAAAACGGCGGCGGGAGGAGAACCTGAAACGGCGCCTGGAGAACGAACGGAAGGCGGAGATCGTCCAAGTGGTGAGTTGCAGCCCCACTCCTGGCTGGGGGCACCATGGCAGCCTGGCAAACCCGGCAGCCTCCACACCCTGGGCGCTGGGCTCCAGTTTGCTCCAGTTCCTCTCCGCGGCTCCTCCTTTGAAGGCAGCTCTGGGGAAATCCCACCAAACCCAGCTGCACCAGGGAGGGGGTCACCTCTGCTGTCATCCTGCAGGGTGGGGTGGGGGGACAGCTTCTCTTTCAAGCTTGAGAAAACCAGGGAGGGGATCGCACGCGGGGTGATGCAGCAAGGGAAGCTCGGCATCCGAGCATGCTGGGATTTCGTGGGGGTGGGGGTCAGGGCTTTTCTGTCTGGAAAAGAGAGACAGGAGCTCGGGGTGGGCACGGTGAAGCCCTGCACGGCCACGCAGCGCTGGCGAGGATGGGGGTATTGCCGGTCCCCTCCGC